TCGGAGCGTCAGGTAGACCTTGTAGAAGGCACCAAATTCCGTGTCCTCTGTCATCATATTCATGATTTTCAGCATTTGGCCATTGGCTGGATACAGTCCCAAACGTTACGCCGGCATCCTAGTCAGCATCGTCAGTGAGAGGCGCCATCGTAAGCGCAGAGTTACAACTTATTAAGGTGACAAGTGAAAGCAATCCTCTTGAGCAATTTTCTGTTCAACCGTCGTGGCATAACTCCTCGCCCCTATTTTTTGTTCTACCCTCTAGTGCCGCATCTCTTTCTCTCAACCCCAATTCATATGGCCCGTCCACTTATTGACACAATTCTGTGCTCATTTAGCTTGACCTTTCCAACTCTTTTTGATTCATTAGTTCATGAAACTAAGCGCTATTTACGAGTAAAGCCTCTTTAAGTTCTCCTTTGTTATATGATGGACATAAATAAATTTTAATTTATCCTGACGGAAACTTATTAGTTTTAACCATGATCAGTGTTGCAGATGTATATAATGGATGATATACAAAATACAGCAAAATTCACAAAAACGCTATTAAATTCATTGTATATAGCTCATCTATAATGTTATACAATATTATAATACCTAATGAATATAACGACAATAATGAAGCTTTACACAAAAAATTAACTTCGGGGTGACTTGAGGAAAAATTATAAAGTTTTGAAACAGAGATAGGTAAATAGCAAGGAATAACCATAATTTGTGTCTTAGTGAAATAATATTTCCTAACAAGACATGTCTCTCTGTGTGAAGAAATTACTATATATATATTCTTTCAGGAGATATAAAGTGCGTCAACATGCTACTAACCTTCCAGTGTTTGCGCCGCTTCATCAGGATCATGCAGCGCTTGACAAAGGTAAGATCACGCAGACCCATCACACCCATGTAGAGGAACATCCCATAAAGTGCTGCCATCGGGATAAACCGGAGAGCAGATCCAATGAAGACGGAGAGTGCGACGAGGACTCCTACAATGAGGGTACTTAGACGTTGTTCAATTGTACCGATTATTCTGAAACAAGAATGTAAAGAAGTCAAAAAAGGAAGCAGAGAATTAGTAAATTTGGTAGTCTAATTTAAAAAGATTCTTGTAAACAAGTTATACCCATGGTCTGACGCTGTAAATCATCATAGCCCCTATGGCAGAGGACTTTGGACAAGTTGTGTTCACCTGGGTCTCCTTTAAGACATGAATAAGTCGCGAAAATGAGATCAAACCACTTCTTTACAGCGAAAAGAAAAACTACTCAATAATGAAAATAAACTGCTACCAAAAGATTGGCAACATCATCTTGGTCTTTATATTTTTGTTTAATCTATTTTTCTTGTACCTATTTGAAGGTTAATTTTTATGGATATGTAAAATATGTATTTTACTAAAATATTGCATTACTTTAGGATAGAATCCCTTTAATGAGTACGGGGAATTAGATCCTAGGAGTTGGGGATATTTAACTGAACAAATTGTTTATTTAACTCTGACATTATTTCAAGTTCACTAGTCGGCACACAGCATCAAAGCATAATCATTAGCCGTGTTCTTTTTTCAGAATTAATCATCAGTTTTTACTAAAGTTATTTTGGTCTTCTGTGCACGTGGAAGAACGGTAAGACTTTGTCTTCATCAATCCAAACTAAATTGTTCTAAAAGATTTCTTGCATAGTAAGACTTGGCTTTACATAGTTTAGACATTGATGTTTGTAATGAGATCGTATGAGAGGTTTCCTTCCGACTATTCCCTCATGCAAAGCATTTGTATGAGCAAAATTGCATTGTAAATCTGTAGACAACTACTAAAGTGGTAGATAAATTCGTAATAGCTTATTTGTTGTGATATTTTGGTTTAAAGAGGATAGTGTAAAAACCTAATCATTATGCGTACAGATTTGCCAGTTTTCTGGCAGTTTCATCAAAGATCTCGCCCTGATTTCAACAGTTCATATAAATCGCATCTATAATCAATTTTGCTTACGATGAAAATTGCTGGTTTAAAGAATTTAAAGAGTCTTTAGAGTTTCCATTGCTTACTAAGAAATGATTATTTTCGTTTCCAGATCTATAGACAGTCGCTTAAAAGGGCATATAGCTTTTAAATAAAGGTAAAACAGCAATGGCAACCAGAGAGAATAAAAAGGTCAATGCATTCGTAAAACCTGGAAGATTGTTACCCTGACTAAATGAAAGCCTAGGATTTCAGCAGATTTTTTTAAATTAATAAAGTATTCTTTAAATGATTCATTATTTACTGGAAATGATCTCCAAAATTTCGCAT